GAATTCCAGGAATTCTGCTGAACACCTCTGAAATAGAATCCAAAACAATGGGCCTTTCATGGAACTCTAAACTTTTGACATTGAGTGTTATTTTAACTGGTTTAACTGTTAGTTCAAAACCAGGAGGCACTCAGCTCCTGCGCAAACTTTGCACTTGGGGTCGGGGGAGGTCTTCTAAACCGTCAGTACAAAGGCGCTGATGGAACATTCTGCCATGACGTTGCTTTATAAATGCAATAAATTTTAAATATTTAGTTTTTAGTTGTGTTTTCACTTATTTTAGACTGCCTTTCTTTGGCCTTTGCTTTTCAAGGGCTGCCAGGCCTTACTCGGGGCCTGGGGATGGGGATTCGTTTTAATCAGTACTTCCTCATGCCTTCCTTTCTGGATGTTTGTAAGAATGAGGAGATAATGTATGTAAAAGTGTCTTAGAAAACAAAGTTTCATAGGACTGCTGGCCATCTTGGTCATTAATTTGGAGTCTCTTTTGGTAGTAAGAATAATCATTGTTTACAAGTGAAATTAGTAGTATGATCGGGCAAAAACATAATACAGTTTATGAAGTAGCTAATTAATTGATCTATTCTTTTGTTTTTGTGGTTTAAGTATAAAGGGCCTTAAAGGATTAGATATTTATTTTTCTTGATGTTCATGAGGAGTAAGGACTGAGGAATAATACACCTTAAGCTGACATGGAAGGAAGGCAGTTCAAAAATTAGTCTCTTAAGCAATATATAAAATGAAATTTTATATATTAAATTTATATATTAAATTTTATATTATAAATTATATATATAAATTTTGTATATTAAAATTTCTGGTTGTTTTGCCTTCTTTTTGTAACTGACAGCTTTATCGGTAGCACAGAAGACTGAGGGGATAGTCATGCAGATGGCATCTGAAACCCAGCTCTATATGTGTAGCATCTGATCTTGGATAACATTTCTACACTGTAAACTGGAGATGGTAATCCCCACTTCATAGGGGATCAAATGAGACAGTAAATGTGTGGAAACAGCTACACATAGAAGAGGTTCAGTAAGTGGTAGGCAATATTCTTATTATTAGAATTGGTGCTAATTATCATTAATAAAAACTATTCCATTGGACATTTGATGTACAAGATAGCATGGTAGGTGGTATTGGGGGATACAGGGAAAGATATCAAGTGCAGTTCCTGGGAATAAGTAGTTTGTACATAATTTAGGGTAAAAAGATAACTGACAAAACAGTATGAAATATGGACAATGAATGATTGAGAAGGTGAAATAGTTGCTATTTTGTAGGATGCTTTGGAAGGTTTTCCTAAGGAAGCTGGAGCTTGAGAATACATACAGTATAGATGGACAGAAAGAATAAGAGGCTGTTCCAACCCCGAGTGAGTCTCGCCCCGACTTCCTCCATCCTTCACTATGTAGGACACAGAGCACTGAGATTAAGAGAGGAAAACGGTAGAATTTTGACTTTGCTAGTTACCAACTGTGTAGCCGTGGGCATTTGACCACCTTAAACCTGGTCTGTCATCTACGTAGTGGATATAAAAATAGAGCAAGGAGTCCTTGCTCTCTTAATCTCACAGTTACAAGATCACCTGCGGAGAGAAACATTACAACACAACCAATATTTATTTAGTATTGGCGACTCACATGATAAGTCCCGTTCAGATATCTCTTCATGTTTAAACCTTCATGTTGTTTCTCTCCAGTTGCAGTAACTCTTTGACTTTTATGACTGTCTAATATTGTAAACATTTGATGATGTGATGCATATAAAACATGAATCTGTTGCAAAGTGAAATTTCAAGCCTTGCAAAAGATAAAGAATTTCCTGATGTCCATGAAAGTGATTTTGAAGATTTGCTAAAAACGTGTTCAAACCCATTGATAAAGGGGTATGTGTGGGGGGTTGTGTGTGGGGGGTGTAATGGTCATGAAATGCATATTACTATGTTTCAAACAGTGTTCTAAGTGTTTTACAGGTATTCAGTTCCTCTTCACTGCAACCTTATAATGCAAGAGTATCCTAATTTCCTGATAGGCAAGGAAACAGAAGCACAGAGTCCACACGAAGCAGTACACTCTTCATCACTGTGCTGTACTGCCTCTACTTAGGTCAGTTGATAATTATCCAATGACAGGAAGACAGAAAGGAGGAGAATGGGCACCGGAATAGAGAGTGATTTCCAAAGGATGAAGAAAACTTTTGTGAAAAATTGATGAAAGCTGAGCAATGTAGACAGTAGTTAGTACCGTGGGCTCTGGGGTCAGACTGCTTGAGCTTCACTGCTCCTTAGCTGCGTGACCTTGGACAGATGACTCAGCATCTCTGTGTCTCAGTTTCTTTATCTATCAAGTACAGATAATTAATAGTATATGCCTATAGCATTGTGGTATGGCTTATCTCATTAAAATACTGATAAGTGTTCCTGACAAATAGAATGTACTCAGTAAATTATTCCTGTAACTAACATTTGGAAAAATGGCCCTTCTTTATGATCATGGTCCAAAAATCAAACATGAAGATTGTCTTAGGCCATTCTCCAATTTTGTTTGGATAATTTATTCTAAAAAACCTCCCACACTTGTTTCATTTTTATCCTCCTAAGAGTTAGCGCATGGTTGCTATGCATGACAATGACAAAAATGTTAAATAAAGAATGAAATAGACTTATTTTTCATTTTATTTATAAAGCCTGGAAAACAACCCCCCACACATATACCCCATTAACTCTGAAATTTGGATTACTGTTTAATGGGATTCACTTTGTCACTTTCTTTTTTTCAGTGTTGATTATCTTCTGATAATGAAGACCTGTCTCTTGGGATGTTTGTGAGGATGAATGAAATAATACATGTAAAGTGCAAGGCATACAGAGCATACTCAATCCTTGTTGGTGACTCTTTTATTTGTTGTTATTTCTATTAGGTGGGAGTGGCAGGAGCAAAGGACACACATAAGAATGTGCGTGTTTTGTTCATTTCGTTTGTAGACATTGAGCGCCTACTCTGAGTCAGACCTGACACAGAGAAGGTGCATGCAGAAGGACGTGAAGTGAACAGGTCTCTCCCCATCTTCCTCTTCTCCCTACCATCTCTGCCTCTCTCTCACACACACACAGTCTTTCACACCCACACACTCTCTCTACGCTTACTCTCACTCACTCACTCTCTCAGAGCTAACAGACTAGTGGGAGAGTCAGAGGTAAAGACAATCATTGTACCCCCTGCTTCGTCAGTGCAGTAATGGCAACACAAAATCCATGTGAGTGTGGGGGGAGGAATAATTTCCTTTGCTTAGGGGTATTTGGAAGGTGTTGCTGAGAAGATGATATTTGGGCTGGATGAGAAGCCCCCCTGGCTCCAGCAGAGGAAGCTCACCTGCAGGGAAGGTGGTGTGGCGTGAAATGTAGGGCGCTGTGCAGATGTGAGGCTGTGATTGCCCAAGTCTGGGAATGTGGACATTATCCCCGAATTATGGGGAACCCTGAGAGTTGTTTTTCTCCTTTTGTTAACACAGATTTATTGAGGTATAATTGACATATAGTAAAATTCACCCTCTGAGGCTGCTCACTTTGAGGAGTTTTGACAAATGTCTGTAATCCTGTAACCCCCACCACCATCAAGGTATAGAATTTGCATCACCCCAGGAAGTCCTCTTGTGTAACTTTGCCGGCAGACCTTTCCCCTCAGCCTCTGACAACGCTGACCTGATTTCTGTCCTTTTCCAGAGTGTCATGTGGAGGCATAGTGTGTAACCTTTTATGTCTGGCTTCTTTCACTTAGCATAATGGTTTTGAGATTCATCCATGTCGTTGCACATATCGGTAGCTTGTTCAGGGAAGGTTTAAAAAATAAAAGAATGCCATGACGGTTCAGGAAGATGAATTGGCTAGTGGTGATGTATGGATTAGGGAGCGGGGCAGTGGCAGCATCCAGTCCAGTGAGAAGGATTGTAATTCAGGTGTGGGGCGGGGAGGCCAGAAATACGGTAGTGGCAGGGGAAATTGAGAAGAGGGGATTTGCAGAGCATCCTGCAAATAGAACAATGGAGCTACAAGTTGGAATGCAGGGTTTTAAAGAAGGAGTGAGGAGATAGGTTAGAAAGAATGGTGGGTTTAAACCTCCCCCTTCATAGCAGATGGGAAGGAGGAACGTGGATAGGTGGCTGCGTTGGAGCCTCTTGGAAAACCTAGGGAGCATGTCTGCGTGGGTGCAGGCAGAGGAAATCAGCCAGGGGAGAGAAGAACCAGAGGGGCTGGGAACGGCGGGATGGAGAAGCACCTTGTGTTAGCTGCTGTTCCCTGCGAGCTCAGGGGCGGACTCTGGCGGGAGCTCTGCCCTGAAAGTTGCTCTTGTTCATTCTGTTTTTGTCAGGAGGCTGGGGGCTGGAGAAACCAGTGTCGGAGTAATGTTTCTCTCAAGCTTTTAATTTTGTCTATATTTCAAGCTTTGGTAAAGCCATCATATCTCATAAAATATCTTCATGAGTTACAATATCTATAAGAATTTTGCCATTTTAATATAAGATGTATGATGACAATGATTTATGCGAACATGACATCTATTTGCGATAGTCTCTAATACATTTAGTAGAAAAGACTCTGCATTTAGATCAGGACCTAACTTTGTGGAAGAAAGCAATATATTTTTTTTCCTATCAGATAAACTTTCACACACTTCTGATCCTACCTCTGATATCTCAGTAAATGTTTCTTGCCCCTGGAAATCATTTACTTTCTCATAAAGAGAAGCATTCATAAAGAATACTAAGCTGTAGAGTATCTGTGGATTTTTTTAAAAATGTGTAACTTCAGGCACAAATGACCCACTTAAGGGTTATGATCTATGCGATGTAAGTACGATAAAATGGTAAAGTATGTGTTCATTCTCATTTATTCTGCCAATGGCAGTGGAGATTGTGTTTTAAATGCCAGAGAAAAATTGTGACTTAAAAATTCTAAGAATATGAAAAACATCCCACCTTTGAATTTTTTGTTTTAGTTTTGCTGCTTGAGAAGATAGAGCATGATGACGTGTGCAATAAAACATTGAAGATCACAGATTTTGGCTTAGCAAGAGAATGGCACAGGACCACCAAAATGAGTGCGGCAGGCACCTACGCCTGGATGGCGCCGGAAGTCATCAAGTCCTCGCTGTTCTCTAAGGGAAGCGACATCTGGAGGTAAGCACCATGTGTCTTGCTTTTGCAGATGTCCGCAGAAACTGCTGCCACGCTTCCTTTAAGTGAATCCCGAAGCAGTCTGTGGTTCTGCGCCTGAAGGGCAGTATACGCCTTTTCAAAGAAGGTTTTATGGTTTTGATCAAGACAGTTGTAATCGCAGTGAAACAGGTAACTTGAGATTTTTATTGTCATATCACTTCCATTTGATAGGAGAACCTTGTTAAATCTGAGGTTTGATTAAAACTGGTTATAATTTGAATTAAAGGTAATGCCAGCATTTTGTAAGGCCTGTCAGTAAATAGGAGTAAATTTTCACTTTAAGCAAAATTTTGGTTCCTCGTGATTCACAGAAAGAATATTAGCATGGAAGGAGTTTGAGAAAAAACTTTAGCCCCTTTGTTCTACAGATTGCATCATGTCAAGATTCAGGCTTCCACTTTGAGGATGGAGGTCCCAAGTGGGATCCCAAGTTAGCTGGGTTTTCGTTCAGCTGTGTCTCACTAAGGGGTGAAGACTCTTATCAGTAACAGAACAACAAAGAAACGTCGCTCTGTTTAATAGCTACGATGCACCGGGAGCTTACTTGCCTTTATTTAATGCTCATAAAATCCTGTGTGGCTAGTATTAGAATTCCAGGTTTTTTGTTGCTGATGTTTTCTAACAGCTTTATTGAAATATAATTCACAGATCTTACAGTTCATCCATTTAAATCGTACGGTTCAGTGGGTTTTAGTATATTAAGAGTGTTGTGCATCCATCCCCACAATCAACCCAAGGCAACCACTAATCTAAGTTTTGTATCTTTAGATTTGCTTATTATGGACATTTCATATAAATGGAATCATACAACACGTGGTCCTTGTGACTGGCTTTTTTCAGTTAGCCTAATGTTTTCAAGATTCCTGTCCTACAATATGTCAGAATTCCGGTCTTATTTATGGTCAAATAATATCCCATTATCTGGACGTACCACATTTTGTTTGTGTGTTTGTCAGTTGATGGGCATTTGGGTTGTTTCCACTTTTTGGCTATTCTGAATAATGCTGCTATGAACTATCGTGAACACGTTTTTGTGAAGACGTGTTTTTGGTTCTCTTGGGTATATACCTCAGAGTGAAATTGCTGGGCCCTTATGGTGATTCCATGGTTCCTTGTTTGAGGAGCTGCCAGACTGTTTTCCAACGCAGCGGCACCACTTCTCCTTCCCGCCAGCAGTGTAAGGGTTCTCATTTCTCCACGTCCTCGCCAACACTTATCTGGCTTTTGTTTCTAGCCATCCTGGTGGTTGTGAAGTGGTATCTCATTGTGATTAAAATTCCAGGTTTTCTTGGTTTTGGGGGGGTTTTTTTTACATTAGAGAAAACTAGGGCTGAGAAAGGAAATATCACTTGCTAAGAGTCCCTTTCTAAGTGGCAGAACTGTTGTTTGAACCCAGATCTGTCTGACTTCCAAAGTCATGGTCAACAAAAATTGTTTTCCTGCTTTAATCATTGGACAGGCCAGCAGTTGGTCACGTCGAGTTAGTGGCAGAACCCCTGTTAGCATAAGTTCCAAAAGATTTCTTTAAATTTAAAGCTTATCCTACGCATTTAAAATATAATTTAATTGTTCTACTTATGGCTTGTAAGAAATTCATCAACTGTGTCATAGGTTCTATAGTATCTTAGGGCCGTTTTGAAAAACACAAATGCTTGAGCCTCCCCCTGGCTTAATGAATTAGACCCTGTGCTGGCGGAGCCTGAGCACGTGTGTCTTCATAAAACATTAAATGTGTTTTCCTTGATTTAATTACAATAATTTTCTGACCATATGATAATACCAAAATACTTAAGTGAAACAGGTGATTCAAGAAATTATACTTCAAGACTCAAAAAGCTAATAAAATATCATAAATCAATAGTACATTCAAAATAGTATTAGACTATAACCATTTCATTTTGTGTGCTTTTATAAACTATGTAATTACTAGCTATACAAGTGCTGTACAGTCTATCTAAATGCTTTGTAGCAACCTATTCCTCTATTGTAAAATAGAGGAGAATCAAGAAGTAAGAAGAAAAAATTTCTAAAACCACTCAAAATGTAGGTCTTTGAGTCCATGCGCTCATTGGAGCAGTCTTCTCTCAAAATCTATTTACTTCTAAGTCTCAGATTTACAAGTATGCTTACCTGATTTTCAGTAAAAGCAGCTATTTAGAAGAGGGAAGAGGAATGAATGCTAAGCTGGTCGTGGTAAAAAACGGCAGCTGAGAACAAAGTAGGTGACAGGAAGAAAAAAAGCATGAAATGCTATGAAAAGGACTAGAAACTAGTGACCTCTAGAGGCACCTAGTTGTGGAGCCAAGCATCCCCACACGTCTCTGGAAGGCATTAATATAAGCATACCAGAGCGCTAGGATGTCAGGATGCACAAGGGCGGGGAAGGCCATCCCTCTGAATTGTACATGCCCTGCTATAGAATCTCCTTTTATAATATTCCCATAAAAAATAATTTCATTCAAGAAACATTGCTTTCCTCTGTGCAGAACTGTGGACTAGTATATCTATTTAGTGTATTTCCTGAGCATCTTCCCCTCCTCCTTCCTGGTTATTACGCTACAAGGTAACTTAGATCTTATGACTGAATTTTTACAGCATGTCCTGTGATTCCCCCGGTTTCAGAGAGTGGGTACCCAGGGCCCTGAGAGGTTAGGAAACTCCTCAGGGTTGTAAGACTAGTAAGGAGCAGACTCAGGTCCCAGGCGTGACAGCGTGCTCCACAGCCCTTCATCATTAGGCTACTTGAGGTCTCGGAGAGCGCTTTGTCTATACTGTATCCTACCTAGTTTCAGAGAACAGAAAATAAGCATTACACTTTAGAAATAGTTCCATCAAAATAGTTTCATTTTTTCACATTGGTTTTTAACTTTTGCCTGAAAAAATGACCTATCCTGAATCATTAATTCTCTGAAACTTCCAATCAAAGTTACATGGTTGTTATTGTTTGTTTTAGCTTCGTTATTTGCTAATGAGAATAGCAAGGAAGCTTCTTAGAATTTAGACAATTTCCAGTTATTCTAAGAAGTTTTTGGTCCTCTGCTCTGAGGTGATTTTTGTTGATTTATCTATGAGTTAAATTTACTTATTATTGAAATTAAGATGTCTCTGCTAATAAACTGTAATATAGAAAATTTTCAAGAAACTAAACAGATAACCTTTGAAAAATATTGGATTCAACTTAATTGGTAATAGTTATAGCATTATATAATTTATACATGCTCTATTACACATTTATTTTTTTTTCAGTTTAGGTTGGCGCCAGAACTAACATCTGCTGCCCATCTTTTTCTTCTCCCAAAAGCCCCCAAGTACATAGTTGTATATTCTAGTTGTAGGTCCTTCTAATTCTGTTATGTGGGACACCACCTCAACATGGCTTGATGAGTGGTGCTAAGTCTGTGCCCAGGATCCGAACTGGCGAGCCCCTGGGTCACTAAAGTGGAGTGTGTGAACCTAACCACTTGGCCACACTCGGCCAAAGGCCTAGCCCCTTACATGTTTCTTTTTTCAACTATAAAACAGTGCTTTGAGATGGTAGAGCAGATATCCTGTTATTTCGTATTTGAGTTAATTCAAGATCATCTTTAAGGGCCTTGTGAGTGGAGACGTAACTAGTAAGAAGTGATACTCCCAAAGCCCACACTCAGGTCTGCTGCCTCCAAATCCAGTTGTGTTTCATGGTGCGCTATAACTCCTCCTGTTCAGGGAGGAGCCCCGGGTCCTCAGGACTCAAATCTCTGTGTTCAGGGCCAGTAGCATATCAGCTGGATGATCCCTAAGGCCCCTTTGACTGGTCCAATCGGTTGTTTTTACATTGTTTTTCTGAATGTTTTCAGTAGATGGTCTCAAGTCCGATAGGCACTAATGCAGAGGTCTTTAAATGACAAGTTATCTATCCAGGATGACCTGAACCTGGAGCCCAGAGACTTTCCAGCTCTTTGTAGAGCAAGTCTTCTTCCTAGAGGGCTTTTTCTCTTGTATTAGTGACACGGTGCATCCTCGCATCTCTTAAGATCAGAAGATAATCTAAATTTCAAGCTTTTTTTTTTTTTTTTTACCTAAAGCTAATGAAGTTTTAAAAGATTAGGAAAATAGATAGGACTGTACTAGTTACATTAATAGAATTAAAAAAGTAAGTAAATGTGTGTTCCTTATATGCTTATGTGTTTCAATTTAAAGGCAAGTGAGTCGTCTGGAGTGACTCTAGTTTTTTATGTTTTCACAAAAGATAATTTGAGTGTACTTTATGTTTTGAAGAAGATGAAAGGGGAGACAGAGGTACTGACCTGTATCGTAGAAGAGACTGAGTATCTCTAAGGAACAAGGCTTATTTCCATGCCACTGTGTGCTACCTTGAATTGAGGCACCTTAAAATCTTAAACCTTAAATCTGTGGTGTGGATGTGGAGTGAAATTCTGTCCTTCGGCTTCATTTAAAAATTTCATTTAGAAGTCCTTCCATGTGAGTTTTCTTGTTCTTGTTTGTAATTACACTTGCCTTTGAAGAACTAAGGCAGTGGTGAACCCGCGTGACCTCTGCTGACCTTTAGAGAGCATGGCAGCTGAGGTGGTCCTTTGTTTTTACTCTTATTTCGCTTCAACTTTCTCCATTGCCAAAAAGACATTTTGGGGGCCAGCCCCAGTGCTCTAGTGGTTAAGTTCGGTGTGCTCCACTTTGGCAGCCCGGGTTCAGTTCCTAGGTGCAGACTTATACCACTCGTCTGTCAGTGGCCATGCTATGGCGGCGGCTCAATACAAAAAGAAGAAGATTGGCAGCAGGTGTTAGCTCAGGAGGAATCTTCCTCAGCAAAGAAAGAAAAAGATTTTGTGTCCTACCAGCAGGCACCACGGAGCCCCACATTAATTTCTTTTGTCCATTACTGTTGAGTGATATGGTGGAAACATTAGTAACAAGTCTAAAATATAAAAGGAGAGGCATACAGATAAACAGTTTCAAAAAACTATTTAAATAGTATGATTCGATCTCAGTCCTGTGATGTGTGGCATGAGATATCAGTAGGACTAGAATCTTCAGTGTCATAGCAATCCTCAAGAGTTCTGTGTAGGTGTGGGAAAAATGAGGTAGAAGGAGCAACATCAAAACTCTTAAAACATTACTCTTAAAGTGTGGCCTGGTTCTGCACCCTGTTTAATTCAGTTATGTGCTGCCCCTAAGCTTTCCTGTTCACTAAGTAGTTTTCATTCCTATAACGAATGTTTAACTGATTTCTGGGAAGAAGTGTATTTGCATGTGTTTGCGTGTTAACTGGAAGAGCCCACCTCTCACCTTGGGGTAAGGGCCACTTATGGACTCTGTTGTAAGAGAAGATCCTTACTAGGAGCCGGCTGAAGGTACCGATGCATTTGCCTCACTGGTTGTGTCCTAAGGAAACAGCACCGTGCGACCCGTTTAACTTGATAACAACTTTGCTTTCTAGCTATGGAGTCCTGCTATGGGAACTGCTCACGGGAGAAGTCCCTTATCGTGGCATTGACGGTCTTGCTGTGGCTTATGGGGTCGCCGTCAATAAGCTCACTCTGCCTGTTCCATCCACCTGCCCTGAGCCGTTTGCCAAGCTCATGAAAGGTATTTGCACACATCCGTTTTTGTGTGTCTGGCGGGTAGGGAAGGGGACTTGCTCATTAGAACATCTGTGTCTTTAACTAGAAGAGTAATTCTGTGATTCTAATTTTCAAATGCTTGTAAGTAATTATTCTATTTTAAGAGTTGGAAACCTTGTCTTTGATGTCAGGTAAAGTTTTGATGAACTAAGTAAGTTAAAAACAATCCAGTTTTATCAGTGACTTATTTTTGTATAAAATTTAACAGAATGGTAATAAAGTTTGCACCACATACACTAGTAGAGTTCAAAGACGATATTGAATTGGCTCCACATCTGCTGTTTTACCTAGTGATCAAAAATGTTTTACGTTCTTAACTGACATGGTTTTGCATGGCTTTATTTGATCCTTATCTTTTAAAAATTAACTCCCTCTTTTTATAAGCAGCAAGTTGCCTTACTTCATTATTAGCCTATTTCTTAGAACCTCTCTTGAGACTTTGGTGTTCTTGGGTTGAGTTCTAGACTCTGTGTCAGGAAGTCATCTGGCCAGGGCAGCTTAGGCCCCGAAACACAGACTTCGTGATAAGGCTTGGAAAGCACACGTCCACATGTTACTGTCATATAATATAAGCAAGAAGAGCCTTGTCTGATAGTAATTATTATGCATGCTGCTGACATGGACACTGTGTAAAATAAAATTTTCAAAATTATTATCAATAGATTTTAAAAATCTTCAGCAGACATGATCAACATGGGCTAATAATCCAAACTCTGCTCAGAAATGGAATTAATGTGATTCTTGCTTATTGTAGAATGCTGGCAACAAGACCCTCATATTCGTCCATCATTTGGCTTAATTCTTGAACAACTGACTGCTATCGAAGGGGCGGTTATGACTGAAATGCCTCAAGAATCTTTTCATTCCATGCAAGATGACTGGAAGCTGGAAATTCAACAAATGTTTGATGAGCTGAGAACAAAGGAAAAGGTGAGAGAGATATATATAATTGCATAATATACTCACATTTATGAAGATTGTGAAAACGAGTCAAGAACCACTCAGCATTATTCTAAAATATTTTCAGACATCAATATTTGTCGATTCTTGCTTTTCAATTAAAACAAAACAGAATTGTACTTGAAATGTGTACTTGGAAAGGAAACAACCTTTTATTAGGAGAACTTTCAAATGTTAAAAAAAAAAAAGACTAGCATAATAAACCACTTGTTTGCGTTAACCAGCTTCAATAATTGTCAATATTTTGTCATTTTGTTCATCTCATTTCCCCATTATCATCTTTTTTTTAAACTGGGTTATTTTAAGTTAAATCCTCGACTTACATCATTTTACCCTTAAATGATTCAATATGCATCTCTAACTGGTAAGAATTTTAAAAATAACTTTCTTGCCATTATTATCTTAAAAAGTGACAGTAATTCTTTGATGTCACGTAATACTCCATAGTCAAATGTCATAGTTTGTCTCAAATATGTCTTCTTACAGTTGGTTGATGCAAATCAGAATTTAAAGATATACAGGTTGTTTTTAATTATGCCTTCTGAAACCTGTTTTATGCTAGTCTACCTCCCAAAACCTCCTTTTTATCTCCAAGGCATTGCTTTGTTGGAAAAACTTGTAAATATGTAATTTTTGAACTTTTAATATGATGAATTAAGCTCTGGTTGGTTAATATATTTTAAAAAGAAGAAGAAAAAACCCTATATGTTCAGTACGATGAAGCTGCATTTGTGCTACTACCTCCAAAGTGAAATATGAGAAGTAAAAACACACCTAATTGAAGGCAGCCTTGTTGGGGAGTGAATTCAGTTAACTGATCTCTTCTGCCTGGTGACACGTGCCTGTTAACGGGCACTGAAGAACCCCAAGGTCAAGGCATGGTTCTGTGCTGCAGTGGCTGCAGTTACTTTGTTAAAGACATTTTGTACTACTTGAGCATTTTGAGGAATCAGGGTTTATTCTAGTTGTCCAAGTTGTATAATTGTTCAATATGTTAAATTCCTCTGCTGTGTGTGCAATGAATTTATGGGCCAAAGCATAACGTTGCAAGGTCTTGATAATCTTTATAAAGCCTTATAATCTTCCAGGAATGAATTTTTATACCTTATATATTTATGATTCTAAAATAGTAGAATTCTTTTTAAGTAGGCAGTAATGCTTTGCTAGCACAGGGTCCACTTGCTAATTCCAATTATGACATTGAAACATGGCATTGTAGTGTAGCCGAGAGTCATTCTCCCATGGCAAAGTTACCTTGGTTTACGTGGTATGGCTCTGCATTATATCTCTAGACTATCACATTGACCATGATACTAAAGGCCTGTAACCAACTGAAGTGCAAAGGAAAGGGCAAAAGAAGGAATAACAAGCTGTGCTTTGAATATATACTCATAAGCATTTCTTGAGCTAATATATATAATACTGTGCGGAATACCAAGACATGATATGCCCAAATTCTATCCTTGAGTAGCTTCTTCTACTGTCATTTTGCTGAACTGGCAATTAATGCAAGATATGTCATAGGTATTCCCCAAAGTGCAAATTTTCTTAAAAAGAAATATAATTTAAAAATGTGTCTATGGGGGGCTGGCCCGGTGGCATAGCGGTTAAGTTCGCATGTTCCACTTCGGTGGCCCGGGGTTCGCCATTTCGGATCCCAGGTGCAGACATGGTACCGCTTGGCAAGCCATGCTGTGGCAGGCATCCCACATATAAAGTGGAGGAAGATGGGCACAGATATTAGCTCAGGGCCAGTCTTCTTCAGCAAAAAAAGAAGGGTTGGCAGCAGATGTTAGCTCGGGGCTAATCTTCCTCAAAAAAAAAAAATGTGTCTATGGGAAAATTGTTCTTTCAATGTTATAATTTTTTCAGCGAGCATATATGACTATCTCTTGTGTGCTGGGAACAGTGTTAGAGTCCTAGGATACAAAGATGCATGATATGGCAGTCTGTATCCTGGGGAATGGTGCTTTGAATGCCAGGCCAGGCATCAGGACGTTGTTGACAAGTTTTGAAAGGGGGCTTGATGTGCCTTCCTGGCACCAGTTTCCAGCCGAACACTGAAGTCAAAACTTCCTCCTCGCTCCCCCTCTGCCTTCCCTCATTCTGCTTCCTTTTTACCATAATGGGATTACTGTTCTCTTAGGTACCCAGTCTCAAAGGTCTTTGAAGGTACTTCTCGTGGTCTCCTATGTGACAAAGATTATCAGTGGTAATTCACTCCCCTAGTTCGTGTTGTCCTCACTTAGCGCCAGCATTACGGCAACAGCATCCTCCCTAGTTGCTCTGTGTCCAGTGTTGCTCCCCTAACTTATCCCCCACCACGAGTGACCCTTCTAAAATGCAAATCTGAGCATCCTTGCTTCAGCGGCCAACTCCAGTTCCTCATCAACTCCCTTTGTCCTTCCTTATTTACCTTCACTGTGTCCTCAGCCATACTGAATTCCTCTCAGTTCTTCTGGTGCCATGCACTTGACTTTTGGCCTTTGTATATGTTCTTTTTTCTGTTGAGGACAGTGTTCTCAACTGTCTCCTCCCTAGCTTTTATCCCCACCTCTCAATTGCTGGCTTCTTTGTTTTCAGTCCTTCAGAGCTCCCTTCCCTCCTCTGCTGCACCAGATAAACTGTCTGTCGTAGTATCCTGCACTTCCTCATCGTGGCTGGCACTAGAGTCATACTTTATTATTATCTGTTTATTTAATTGTTTTTGGTCTGCCTTTTCTGCTGGATAAGAACTTCATGAGCTTTGCTATTCATTCTTGGTCGTTTCCATCCACAGCATTGAACAAAGTACTCAGTACATGGTACGCATTAAATAAATACATTAAATAAACCTCAGTAAGCTTTCTTGATTTGTTCCTGATATGTATTTTATTAGGTGAGAGATATTAGCAATTAGTATTATTACTGTTTTAAGTGAAAAGGGAATTTAAAAGTATAAGTTTTATGAATTCTGTTATGACTCTTATGCTATAAAAAGCATACAACTCAGCTGTTTAACTTCTGGTTATATGTTCTTGAGAAACACACATGCACATAAGGAAATTAAGGTTATTCACTTAAGTATTATTTGTAATAGTGAAAAATTGGAAACAACCCCAATATACATTAATATGGGAATAAGTACCTAAAGTGTTATATATTCGTACAGTGGAAATCTGTATAGTAGTTAAAAGGAATGAACTCTAGCTACATGTTTCAACATGCATGAATCTCAAACATAATATTGGGTGGAAAAAGCAAGTTGCAAAAGAAGAGTTACATTATATACCATTTATGGGACTTTATAAAACAGTACTATTCAAATGTACAAAAGGTCTAAAAGTATAGGTAGAAGAAGGATGCAACCAACTTGAGAACAGCAGATCTGAAGAGGGGTGGCATAGCATAGTCTGACGCACAGAGGACTTTAACACGTCCGAAGACGAGAAGGTAAAAATTAGCATCTGTTAAATAGCGAGGGTGAGTGCGTAGATATTTGCTGTTCTCTCTAATTGTAGCGTATTTTAAATATTTCATAGTTTAAAATGATTAAAAATAAAGGTTATAGAGAAATATGTAAGCTGCTGAAGTCATTTTTTCCCTGTAAAGTCATATTTTTAAGCTGTAGACTTATAATTCACTCTCTTCCTTAGATCTTTCAGTGTTTTGTAAGTTGAAAAATACACAACGGGCAAATGCAACCTTCGACCCTGCCATTGCCAGTGTATACATAGAGCTCATGTAATAGGAGATAACAGTGCTGTTTGATTCTGCTCCGATCGTATTCAGTGCTGTGTTTGATTGTGGGCACCAGATTTTAAAGAGACTCCCAAGGAGCAGGGCAGGAAGGCAGGAGAGGAGCCTGGAAACCTGAGCAGGCAGAGGACAGAAGTGGGGGTGGGGGGTAGATTGTGGGGGCTACCCTCGAATACTGGAAGAACTTTCTAGTAGACGAGGGAGGAAATATGTTTCATGTTGTTTCAGACTTCAGAAGTAGGACCTCTTGGGTGAATACTCCAGGGATTAAAATCTGCTCCCCGAATCAACAACTTTCTGACGTTTGGCGCTGTCTAGCTGTGCAGCAGACCCTGCGTCAGCTGCTCAGCTCCTTGCCTCAGAGAACTCCAGTAGACTGCAGGGGACAGCTATGTGGGGTTCTAAAAGTGATGGTGATACACCCTCCGCTCCCTTTTTTTTAATATTAAGTCTTTAGTGGAATTCCAAAATCTATAGCAATCTAGTGTGGTGGTGAAGACCCAGGACTGAGCCAGACAGCTGGGTCGGAACTGGGGCTGTGCCCTTTGCTGACCTATGACTGTTCTCTCCCTGCCTCCTCCTCCACCTCCTCCTCCTCATTCTCATTAAATCTCCCTGGGGATCTGGTGTGTGGGGGTGGGGAGGGGCTGGTGCTTAAATGAGTAACTACCAAAGTGCTCAGAGCAGTGCCTGTTAGTAAGTGCTAAATAAGTGTTAAGTGTTAAGATTTAACCTCAGAACAAAGAAAGGGGTGGCTTTGCCTGCAGCCGGGGCAGGTTCTGGCAGCCACCCCCGTTCCGGGCCCAGGCATTCTGAGCCATGATGCTTGAAAATGACGGACTGGATTACTTTTTAAATCCTGCCGTTCTCTGAAGGATTACTATCAGAGAGATTATGAATATGTTTCTCGGAAACTTTAATACATTTTTTTGACTTACAGTGATAAAGACTGATTTTCTTTTTAGACTTCCCCAAATTGTTTTCAGGAATCCTAAAGTGAAATGTTTAGTAGCAAAGACAACAAAGACTTGGAGGGGATGGGAGAGGGCTTAGAGAAAGAATAAAACTTGAAATCACAGAATTTAAAATTTGGAAGTGATGTTATTACTAATCCTTATTTTAAACTATTTTATTTATTTCTCATTATTGGTAATTATTTATAAAACTGCAGGTTAGGGGCATATCCAGTGAGTTAATTCTTTTTAAATGTGGTGTAAAAGTCAAAAAGCTTGCTTCAAGGTGGGATGTGTGCCCTTTCTCTGTTTTGAGGTTTATAGGAGTTTCTTTGTTATCTTTGGATTCGTTTTTGAGCTATCCTATAGTGGTACCTTTCCTTTTTCTTTGTATATGATTTTTGTGCTCCTCCTTGAAATACAGCATAAGAAGTATCTTCTGAGCCTTTGATTTACAATTAAAGGATACATAACGCTTTTTTTGCTCAGAGGTTTCTAATTGCATCTTTTTTGATGGAGTCAAAAGCACAGTATGTGCTCTGTCTGCCTCTATCGTTCACTGATTGCTTAAGGTGGGAGGCGTCAGACTTGGAATTAATGGTGAGTGACTTGGCTGTGCTCTGTGTTATTCAGTGAGCTGTGGCCTCCATAGGTACCGGTTCCTCCCTGAATTCCGACCTTCTTATCTCTCTGTGGCTGTCTGCGTGCACTGGGTGCATGCACCTGTCTTTGAGCCACTGTGCGAAGGCATGTCGCTGTTAATGATTGACGTCTACTGCCAGGAACCTGGCTTTGCCATTAGTAGAATGCCTGTGTCAAGCAATTAAACAAATACTCCTGCTTGCTAATCTCAGCAACCGAAAGAATTTTTTGTGTGCTTCATAATTTCAAAGTATTCAAAGGAATTCTAATACCCCAGACTTTCTCTCCTTTTTTCTTTTCAGTGTTCTAAAATTCAGTGAGAAAGAAGAGTACTTTGGATGCTTTCTCTTTGATCTTCTTTTTCTGTCTCATGAAGTCGTAGGCAAGTGATTTTTTTCTTCATAGAGTCGTTGCAAGGGGATTCACATTTTAGCCTGGGACCTGGATTTAAAAGTGGTTTCTTATTCAGTTACTGTAGTAGTAACACACAGAAAGCCTGACTGAATTTGCTGCCCTTATCGCTTCCTCATGCCATTCCATTTCACAATGGCTAATTGGATTGATATCAACACCGCTGAAAACTAATATCTTAACAAAAGGGCAGACAGTAGTGACTAAGAAATTGGAAGTTGACTGGAAATGATCCTCTGCCCCAAATGCACTACAGTTAAATCTCCAAATTGGACAAGCAGATAGGAGAAAGCCACCAGTTAAATAATGGATTCCAGAATTTTTTTTAGCAAGTGACATTTTCTTCTTCTCTTTTTTCTTTTTAAGTAATAAATAGTAATGTATGTCTGGCACAAAGTAATAAAGAGCTACTGATCTGCTCTTCAAGAATCAGCTGGTTCATATTAGCAGCAGTGATTTGAATATCAGTTGGTCTTAAGTAAATCATTTCTCATAATTTTGTTTATGACCATTGTTTAGAAAAACTCATGTTTCAAAGATGAATCAAAGGTGAAACTTTGGTGGACTTGAAATTTGGACCATAAGTTTGGAATTAGTTTGATCTGAATAAATAAATTTTTGGTTTTTAGAGCTCTCTAGTCTCTTCTTGATATTTATTTATTTATGGAAGGATAGCCTTCTGTTTGTTTCCTCTATGATAATTGTACTGACAGATGGCTTCCCATTATTCTTTGAGCCCATCTGTAAAATGCCAAGGGATTAGCAGACTTGAGTTGGCATTTTAGTCCCATGGTTCAGCTCTGGTTTCTTCCATGAGCCTGCATCCTACAGTGTTTCTTCGTGCATCAGTATTTTGGAGGTGGGCCTGTGTAAAGTGTGGCCTGCTACTATAAAATCTGACATGTTTGCGCAACACTCATAGCTGTCAAAACTCACAGCCCAAAGCTCTACCTGAGAACGTGGAGTTTCTAACAAAGTTTTTGGTAGTTAGGTATTCTAAGATTAAGTTTGTCCGGAGCAGTGGAAATAAAAGTTTGCAAAGGCCTTGATTTCTACGTGAGTGCTTGATTTAGTAGCAGGATAATCTAGAAGAGAAAGTAATTCAACACTAAAAGCAATATTTATGTCTCTGGTAAAGTACAGAACACTTTACAGAAATGAAATAAGAATGGGATTTAAAAACTTTGTGGCATTCTCAGCTTTACTGTTGAATAATTTTTTTCCTAATAGATGTTCAGTTCATAGATGTTCTGTTTCTCAGGAGTTCTCTAGTTTTAAAACCAAAACTAAGAGGAGGTTAGATTTTTAATCAGTAAGTATTGTGACAGAGGGACTTTTATTTAGCTATTTCATGATATCTGTGTATAAAGTGATACCTCCCATTCATCCATGGGATCCTGAGAAGTTCTTTGTCTACTGAATATACTTATTCTGTTGGCTTACAATTTTAGAGAGGTCTGGTTTTAATTTCTGATGAGCCTCCAACTGACTCGACACATTAGCTTTGTTTTTTGCCATAATCTCTCCACCAAAATGTTTTAATCTCTAAGCAAGTTCTTAAATGCCCTAAGGAAGTCCCTAAGTGAAGAAATCTGAACTGCAGTCTGTTGTAACTAGAATAATTATCCTTTAATTAGCCAAGCTTTAACTTTTGGCTTTATTTTAAAATTGGCCATTCACATCGATACTCTGTTGCTATGTGTCCATTTTATGTGTTAGGTGATTATAAAGGCTAGAAATGAAGAGAGAGAAATCTTAAAACAAGATTTAGGGGGCCGGCCCAGTGGCATAGTGGTTAAGTTCATAGCGCTCTGCTTCCGCAGCCTGGGGTTGGCTAGTTCAGATCCTGGGTGCAGACCTACACACTGCTCATCAAGCCGTGCTGTGGCGGCATCTCACATAGGAGAACTAGAAGGACTTACAGCTAGGATATACAACTACATACTGGGGCTTTGGGGAGATAAAATACAAATCAGATTTTAAAAATTTGCGGTTTAGGATCATAAAACTGAAAGTGCAAGATGGAGCCTGTGCACAGGCTTTGGTGTCAGTCCGAGTTGGTGATGTTCTGGAAAGGTCTTAGCCCTGATCCCTTGACTGCCAAGTGGGCCGCCCCGTGAGGACTCGAATGACCAGGTGGGTGGACTGTGGGAGAGGCACCTTCTCCTCCCTGCTGATGTTGGTGTGACTCTGTTGCAGGAGCTGCGGTCCCGTGAGGAGGAGCTGACCCGCGCCGCCCTCCAGCAGAAGTCTCAGGAGGAGCTGCTGAAGCGGCGGGAGCAGCAGCTGGCAGAGCGCGAGATTGACGTGCTGGAGCGGGAGCTCAACATTTTGATATTCCAGTTAAACCAGGAGAAGCCGAATGTGAAGAGGAGGAAGGGCAAGTTCAAGAGAAGTCGTTTAAAGCTCAAAGATGGACATCGAATCAGTTTACCTTCAGGTAGGATTTTGTACCCATGTTTCGTAAGACTCTCGTATGTCATCCCTTTAAACAGCTTGTTTGTTTCACCACAACTGGGAAGAGATGGGGGAATGAGATTTTCAAACCTTATAGAAATAAGTAGCTTCAGTTCTTGCTTCAGTTCACGGTCGTGATGTAATGACCTCACAAGTGTTCCCGGGTGAAACAGCACGCAGCGTGCATTGCGGTAATTCATGCTGAGCATTTAACTTTCAGCGTACTTTCTTATTAATGGATTTATCCATTTACTCCTTTTGAAATCAAGGCAGAGTTCCTTTTTAGCTGATTGCCCTGAACCAGCATTACATGGCATCGTGAAAATCTACAACAATAAAACTATTCCTACTTTATCGTTAAATTTATTGCTTCTGCAAGGATCTATAATGTTATCCGGTAGCTGAGTTCATTTGGGACACTCATGTTGCTGTTAGCATCTTAAACAAAAAATATCAAGTACTTCAATTACATGCCTGCTTTCCTCTGAGGGCTTAAAATCCTTAAGATAGAAAACGAACAGTAAATCTAGGGAAGCTTTTAAAAATATTTTTTAAACGTTGTGACAATAACATAAAAAGATACATGTGTTGGGAGAAACTCAACAGAATAGAGTATAACAAACATATTAATTCACGAAATTAAGTTCTTTAATATTATGTGTAATGCTTGATTTAAGGAAAACCAAATAGCTCTGTGACTCATTGTAATACCAGGGCAGAATGGTGACAGAACAAGAGCCGGCTGCACTTTTATAGAATGTGCGTTAGATATCTCTGTATCTGTATCAGCCTGTCTATTTCTCTATGTATGTATTATCTACTGGAGTGTTTTATAGATTCTAGTGTTTCCCTAAGGTGTTTGTTAACGGCATGGAAATTTGATTTAAATAACAATCCTGACAGATTTGTTTGATTTGAAGTATGTATAAATTGTCTTGTGAAATACTTATTATGAAATACTGGAAGCTTTACAGCGTACTGTGGCTTTTTAGGTTATTGCAGGAGTCCTCAGTTGATCAGAAAATTGCCAGTGTGGAGTAGTAATGAGACCACAGTATACATTATTGATTATTTGGTTTGATGAGGTGAGAATAGGCAATGGGTCATTATTCGTTTTACCTTTGACCTCTCTAGGTGGAAAAAAAGGTAGTTTTCCAGGTTCTCTTCTGATATTTGCTTTTAGCCCAAGTGCAACTTGGAGGACCACTGACTGGATCATCTTGTATGTCAGATATAGTTTAAAATAGTCTATTTTATTTATGATGAGGCTTCTGCTTTCACGTACAGATGATAGAAAAACTCGGGTACTCCATGTGAGTTTTCTTCTCGTTTTTAGCTCTATCAGTATCCTTCTGGGTTATGACTATTATCATAATTAGTATTCGTTGATTCCCTTGGAACACTTTGGGATGGGTGGCTAATGATAAACTGATGGCAAATAAACCTGGGGGAAAAAATAAAATCATTCCGATGATTCTTTAATCTTCAAAGGGAGAGCGATTAAGTAAAATATCTCAGGATTCCTGAGGTCAAACTTTCACTCGTGTTTTTCTCCTCAAATGTTGCTTGGCTAATACCTTGCATTTATTCAAAGCAGACTGAATATATTTGACTATTTTTGTTAGATTTATATTATTACTGGATTGCACGATTTGGCTTTGTTTCTCTTTCTGAGAATAGAGGGGACATTTTAGTTAAACATTTATTTACCTTGTGGCACTTAACAACTTTTCAGTTAAGAACTAACCAAAAAGTCTACTGCTATAATCCTAATCCATCCTGAAGGAATGAAATTCGGCTTCTGTAATTTAGTGTGGCAGTTACCGCTTCTCCCCACAGAGTGGCGCTATATTGCTGTGACTGTTGCCTCTATGGCAGCTCTTTTTCTCATTAGAATTCGCTGACTCTGCACCCCCTCCCCCACCCCACCCGCCACACAGTTTCCTAGCACAATGTCCCAAAGTAGGACACACATCCAGAGAGCCGGAGAGAAGAATGATAACTATCAAAATAATTATTTTTCTCCTTCAGGAATTTTGCTTAGTATAGAAAAGAAAGCAATTATTTGTGCCTTGAGTTCAAAGGAGTTGGCTGATTCCAGTAATATCATCTGCTAGAAAACTCTTTGAGTTACCAAATTTTAGTACAATTTGATGGTACGCTGCTAAGGAAGAAACATCGGATAGGTAATAGCTTTGCACAGTGGTGGTACCTTCCTTTCAGCAGACCAGATTACTTAAACCCCTTTTGCAGGATTTTTGTTTATGTGTAACCAGTTTACAACATCTCACAGAAATGTATTTGAGACTCCTACAAACTGGCCCTTAATACTTGTAAATCTTTCAAAAATTTGTTGTTAAATGTGAATAATTGTCTAATTATTGTCATTTTGTCCTTCAGAATCACTGATGGTAACTTTCAATCTTATGACTATTTATGGCTATGGTGACTTCAGAATCATTGATGATAACTTTTAATCTTATGTCTATTTGTAGCTATGGTGACTTATTGGTAGAAACCTCAAATGTACTTATTCTTGCTGGCAATCCTTCATGGGTGGCTACCAAATAATGAAGATAAATGCTTACAAAATGAGATATCATAATGTAAGATTGCAGTTTTTAAAGTATACTTCCTGAATTCTTGGAATTTCCTGGAATTTGTAGAAAGAAAAAGAATGGTCATGGTAGATAATTTTATATCGTGACCACTTTGTGTCACTCCCTCTGTCTTGTGTTTATTTTGAACCAAAGTTGTGGTTTTTGAACACAATAAAACAAAGCAGAGAGGTGTTAAAGGCTTCAAAAGTTGGCATGTCTCTAAAGCACTGGCATTCTAGCTCAGCCGCTTCAGAAGTGCCAAAAGCCGGCACAGCCCTCTGCCTCCCGTGGGTGAGCGTGAGAGCAAGTGCACGCACGTGTGCAGGGCAGAGACGGCAAAGGCCGCATGAGGATTCTCTGAAGAATGCTACCACTTTCAGTTAAAAATGACTATTCCCACTGGGGCCACGTTAGCTTCCTTAATGGAACACAAATATTGCCAATAAAAATGTAAGTATTTTACCCCAAAGCCTGTGGCCCGTTTGATAATCTGCTATGAGCAGATATCTTGAGAACAATTATTCCAGCAAGTACAAAGAAAAACTGAACATCAGCCAGGGTCAGTTAACAATTCAGCTTTAGTTTTCCTAAAGGCATAACTGGAACAGCATCTACCTTTCCCTGCTTCGTAGGGACAAGGATGTTTATAATAAAGAATATTTTCTTGATGTCTAAAACAGAGAGAGTGATACGTGGAATCTAAAAAAGCAAACAGAAGCCAAACTGAGCTCATAGATGCAGAGAACAGGTGGGTGGTTGCCAGAGGCAGGGGTTGGGGGGTCGGCGAAACGGGTGAAGGTGATTTAAAGGTACAAACCTCTAGTTATAACATAAAAGTCCTACGATGTAACGTACAGCACGGTGACCACCGTTAATGATACTGTATTGTATATTTGAAACTTGCTAAGAGAGTAGATCTGAAAAGTTCTCATCACAAGAAAAAAAAATTTGTAACTAATATGGTGATGCATGGTACCTAGACTTACTGTGATCATTGTGCAGTATCGAACCAGTATGCTGTACACCTGAAACTAATATTATGTTACGTGTCAATTATGTCTCAATAATAAAAGAGAAAACACACACATACAAAACCCACAAAGAGGGCCCCTACTCCTTGGATGAAAGTATTTACACGTTTTCAGAAGATCAGAAGCACTCTGAGTCTTAGGAATTGTTAAAATCCAGCCTTTTGCCCTTGCTACTCCTCCTTGCCCTTACAAACGTTCCGTGCTGGTTACTGGACCTCTGCTAAGTATCTCTTCTTCCATCATTTGTCCTCGCGATTTGTCCTTCAGATGCCGTGGCCTGGCTCTGTGTTCTGGTCGGAGGCTTGCAAGAGCCCGCCTGCCTTCTGCTCTGGGCTGGAGGCTCCTCCTGCTGTAAAAGCTGACGGAGAATTTGCTTCCATGGGGTTAGGACACATCACAGGGGTAGCTGAACCCTTATAAAGCACTTCAATCTAAAATAAACTGTTTCGTATCTGTGGGTAAGAGTATTTCTTTTATTTACCATCTCCTCTCCACCCCCCAGATCCAGCCAGTCATCGTGTCCTGCTGAACTGTTTCCTTGCATCCAGTCTTTGCTTAAACTGCTCTGCCTGGTCCAGTCTTTCGTAATTTCTTACTGGGTAGATGAAGGAAGCCTTCCATCTGATACTTCATTTCCATTTGCTTTTCTTCCAGACCAGCTCTCACCCTTCTATATGTTTCTCAGCAATTAACTTGAAGCACCAGTTTGATCCTGTTGCAAAACCTTGCACATTTTCTCATCTGAGGATCTACCATGAACCGAGTACTAACGATTACAATAAAATAAACATGATCTCTGCCCTCAGGTTACTTATAATCTTAAACAGAGAAAATATTCATTCAGCAAAGATTTACTAAGCAGCTTTTATGTGGGAGACCCTGTGCCCTTTGGAATGGGATCCAGCCGTGATGGAGACTGTGACGGCCCTGCCCATACAGAGCTGACATTGTATTGGGGGAGGAGGGTGAACCTGAAGCTAATAATTAAGCAAATACTTATTTGCCTGCTGTAATTATTAACTGGTGTGAGGGAAAAGTCATATGACAGTGATTAGAAGACAGATGTCACTGGTGTACGAGATCATAGAAGGCTTCCTAAGGAACTAACATTTAAATTGAGACTTAAAGTAGGAATTTACCAAATGCAGAGGGGAAAGGAAGAGAGTAGGCAGAAAGCACGTGCAGAGAAAGCTGGGTTTCTTCCAGGAACTGAGAAAAGACCCATGTGGTTTGACCAGGGGTCAGCAATCTATGCCCCATGGCCAAGTCCAGCCTACCACCTGTTTGGTACAGCCCACAAGCTATGAATTTCGCACATTTTTAAATACTTGAAAAGAAGAAGGAAAAGAATA